TACTTCTACCAGCAAGAACACATATATGGTCCCAATTAAAAAAAGCTGTTAAAACTCTTCATTTTTATGAATGTAATAGGTGTAGAAACTTCACTCGAAAATGAACATTACAAGACTTAGTATTTGAAAGATGACAAAATAAGCTCCCTATGGGTTTTTTCCTCTCTTCTAGGAAATTTGTCTTTGTAACAGGTACCTATAGACTGCTATACCATGATCAGTATTTGTCATCAAATCCCAATACATTAGAAACTAGTAACTCTCAATCACAGTAACAGATGCAGCTTTTTTGCATTTAACTGATTTATGTGGGTGCAGTGAAAGGATATAAACATGCTTTTACCACATTTTGATGTTAAAAAAGGTAATGCTCAAAAGCACCACATTTGCTGTACAATCCCAAATAAAATATTTTGGAGTAAAGTATATTGAGATGGTAAAAATTCCAACAAGAATTCTGACACCAGAAAAATACAGATAACATTTCAACTAAAAGAATTGTAAACACAGTTCAGTATGGAAAATAGCAGTTAGAGTACAAACCAAAACACTCAGTAACCACGTGCTTACGATTAAAGGGACCTCTGTGAACTTTAAAGGCATCTTACGTAACTTTTTCACAAATGGCAACAACTATAAGACATGGATACAGAGATTATCGTGCTCTAAATGGTCATTTCAATTGCTCAGCATGGTTGGATTTCAAATAAAATTCTTTTGAGAAAGAAGGCAAATCTCTCCAAAGACCACCTAGCAAACCTGCAGACTCTGAGATAGTCTGCACAGGGAAGGCTGTAAGCAGTAAGTACAAAGTGTGAATTTGCAACTACTACCTGACAGGCTCCCTGTTAGCACATGTAAGCATGAGCTCACCCTACCTTTGAAGGAGAATGAATTACTTTTGAAAAGCTTTGTCTGAACTGTGTCTAGTGGAGTTTGCTCCACTTTCAATGGAATAAACTATCTTATGCTTAATGTATATTAAGACTGATAACATGATGCATTAATACCGGACAGTTACATACAGTAAACATAGAGTTTACAGTTAACTAGCTTTCCTGTGTAGATAAAGTTGCAGCATGTAACACCATAAAGCTGTTTATTTCCGAGGAGAGGTGACTGAATGTCTCAAACTTGTCTATGTAACTAACACATCATACTTCTGTCTGCCAGCACGTTCATACTCCATAGGCACTCCAAAGTACCTATATACTCCAAAGCTTCATAAAGGAACCTTTATCCTTCTAAGTAAAGACAAAATTGGACATATTGCTGCCAGCTTTAATGTAAAATTAAGCCAGTCACTGAAATACTTCTCCATTTTCATCACATATATTTTAAGTATCAGCACTTGTAACATTGTCCATGAAAAACTCCTACAATACTTTAAGATGCCTAAGGATCGATCTCTGATGATAAAATTTGTTCAGTGATAACACAGCACAGTGCAATAATAAGAGCAACACTATATGCAGGGCTCTGCTATTGTGCAGGATGTCTAAATATAGGGCTTGTAAGTGGTGTGGGGGGAGGAAAGCCTCAGAAGGTTGCAGAATAATCACTAAGTCTTAGAAAAAAGATTTATTACTACTGTGGCAAAATACATCTTTCCTTGATGCAGGGGGGTCTATGAAATTATCCTTTTTTTTGTTAGAGCCTGTATCTAATGAAAGAGTTGGATTTGAAAGAGACTGAAAATGTGCTTGCTGGATATAACCATCAAACCCCAGCACTCTGACTTCTGCTGGAGGTTCCTGCCCTCTGACAACTACACCAGTGTCACACCAATAACCCAAACTATGCAACCCGCACAGATGCATTTCCATTTCTTTTTCTTTGGAAAGAGGGAGGAGTTTACCTGCCATTTTTGGCGATTTAACAACACTGAGATAAGAAAGAAATAGCTAAGAAGCCTATAGAAACGTCAAGACTTGGAGCCTGGTGTTTCTGCTACACTGCTTTTTAGTAAGACAGACCTAGGAACCACGAGAAGTGTTAAGCTGACTACATGGATATAAAATGAGCCTAATCATTCTAGTGTCAACATGCCTGTCAAGAAGACGGGACTTATGCGTCAGAGATGAACATTGGCAGATTTAGCTGCAGCAGTTTAAGATATTGTTGCCCTCAGTCCACCATCCTCCTCTGCCAGAGGCCACTGGCTATTGCACAGGTGGCTACATTTGCTGCATTTCTATACCACTGTATCTATACCATCGTAGCTTACAGTATAACATTCTTTGCCAGAAGTCACTGCTAAGAAGCATCATCTGAAACCTCTATAACCTAGTCTTCCACACTCCATGCCATCCTGTATTACTAGCAATGAAGACACCAGGGAAAACACTGTGCAATTTGCACAATCACACTGCAATCACTGCCAGGTTTCCTAGTGGCTGGCCTCACTTTTTGCCTTAACCCATTATGCATCTGACCGAAAATGATTCAAGCTTACTGACTAAAGACAAAAAATGACAGTAACATACCTGCTAATCAACTG